TTTAAATGTTGATGTGCACATCTGTTCTATCCCTGCTTTTCTGTCTTCAAAGATTAAGGAATTAAAGGAGAAAAAATAATCTTGTCATGCTTTCAGGTAATTATACTATTGAAAACCATAGGATAAGGGAAGATGTGGTTCATCTGTATTCTAAAAACCACAAATGAAGTAGAACTCATTTATTAATCTAATCCATTTTTTAACATATTCCTTGAAACAACCTGTAGAAAAATTATATATTTAAAAATACTAGCTTTATGAATAATCAATCACTTCTTCTAACAAAAGTTGTCAGCTTATGAAGTACTCAACAATTATCTGTAAGAATTTAGTTATTCATTCCTAAGTATCATTAAATTTCACTAACCACATAGGACTTCTTCAGCAGAATACTGTTTAGTTCAAATCAAACAAAAAAAAAAACAAACTCACTGCTGCAAGTTGGACCTGACTCATAACAACCCCTCCTTGGGTTTCTGAGGTGGTACCACTATGGAAGTAGATTGCCCAACCTTCCTTTCAAGGAGTGACCAGTGGGTTTGAATCACCAACCTTCTGGTTAGCAGTCAAATGCCTTAGGCCCTAAGGTACTGCTTTTCCTATCTAAACTTTTAATTTACTTATTGAAAATTTAAAATATTAAACTAATAAAGAAAATTCAAATACAATACCAATTAATTCTATTTATTGTAGGAAATTTCAAAATTATAAGTTATGCTAATCCAATCTGGCTACATTTGCTCTTTAATTGAGAACAATGATGCCACAATAAATTATCAAATCATCTTAAAATAAATGATTTCATTAACGTTTTACAAAGTTCTATACGTGTCTTTATTGTGAATGAAAATATAGATCTTTATGCACTTAAAAATTACTAAATGTGATGTTTAGAAAACTAAGTATCACTACATGTAATGGATTAACTGAACATGTAATGCCTATTTTAATAAAAGGCATAATGCTAACATGGGCTAAGGAAGCTTCATATTACAATTCTCTATTTCTGAAATTACTAGACAATAACATTATTGTAATGAGATGAAAACATTATCTTCTAAAAGGTGAGCTGAATGAAATCTTTAAAATAAAAAGGGAAAACTTAGTAAGTCAAGAAATAATTGATAAAGAAAGAAGTTAGATACTGACATTTTGACTGGTGTTACCCTTGACCTGTACCCGTTTACCTGGACCTAGACCTTGAACTTGAGGGGGAGGATGAGCGTGATGAAGATCGTGAATGTGAAGATCGAGACTTTGAGCGACTTCGTCTATTGGATTTCTTTTTATTACTATCTTCCTCTTCACTGGCATCAAGATTATATTTTGAGAGATCAGCGTCATCTTCATCCTCATCCTAACAAAAATTCAGAGTCAATTATATTTAGATATTTAGAGATTTAGATATTTAGAGATTTAGATATTTAGAGAGTTTTAACTACCAATGTGTAAAGTTCTGTGTACTAGATTTTCTATGTGGAAAAATCACCAATACCTCTAATCTATCAAGAATTTTCGATTAACACCCCTCCCCCACAACTAGGAGTACCGGAATCCATCTCTCTTAGTCTTAGGTGAGACCTCATGATTTTTTTACATCTCTTTTATTACAGTAACCTTTTATCTCTGTAACTATGTAAAATAGATTCTGCCTCTCTAATCACTTCTCCTGTGCCTAACCCAAGCCATGGTATTTTCAGTCACCTCAAATGAATGTGAAAGCTGGACAATGGGTAAGGAAGACCGAAGAATTATTGATGCTTTTGAGTTGTGGTGTTGGTGAAGAACACTGAAAATACTTGGACTGACAGAAAACTAACAGGTCTATCCTGAAGAAGTGCAACTAGAATGTTCCTTGGAAGTGAGAATGGCCAGACTTCATCTCACTTACTTTGGTCATGTTGTCAGAGGGACTATTTCTTGGAGAAGGATATCATGCTTGGTAAAGTGGAGGGTCAGTGAAAAAGGGGGAAGGCCCTCAACAAGATGGACTGACACAGTGGTGGGCAGCATTTCATTCTGTTGTACCTAGGGTTGCTATGAGTCAGAGCCCAACTCAACAGCACTTAACAACGATAATCACTCCTTAATACTCTGCCTCAAACATTACCCTGAAACAAGTTAAAAAAAAAGAAAAAAAATTCCTTTTGTTTCTTAAAAATGGTCCACACTGTTCTACACTGATGGCTTTAGTTGTACTCAAAGGTCTCTTATGATGAGATCTAAATACCCTTAATCTAAATATACACTGGCCCCACAGAACACATACCCTCTCTAGACCTAATTATGTGGTTGTTGCTTCACTCACCTCAACCCTTCCTTTGATATAACCACACTAAACTATGTCTGATTTGTTGAATACTGGTGGCTTAATGAGCAAAGATGTCACTTTGAGGACCACATGTCCCTGACCCAAATGATGGTATTTTCAATCACCTCACATGCATGGGTAAGCTAGACAATGAACAACAAAGACTGAAGAGAATGCTTTTGAATTATGGTGCTGTCGAAGAACACCGAGTATACCAGGGACTGTCAAAAGAATGAAAAAATCCATCTTGGAGAATTTCAGCAAGAATGCCCCTTACAAGTGAGGATGCTGAAACTTTGAGTCACATCTCTAGTCATGTTTATCAGGATACTAGTCCTTGGAGAAGGGAATCATGCTTGGTAGACAGTAAGCAAAAAAGTAGAAGACCAATGAGATGGACTGACAGTGGCTGCCACAATGGCTCAAGCATAGCAAAGACTGTGAGGATGGTATAAGACTGGGCAGTGTTTCATTCTGTTGTACACAGGGTCGCTTAAGTGAGAACCAACTCGACAGCACCTAAAAACCAATATTCCTTACCTTCCAGTTCCAGTTGCTGTCAAGGTGAATCTAATTCATTGGTGATGCTGCCATGTGCATCAGAGTACATGTGTGCTCCATAATGTTTACAATGGCTGTTATTTTAGAAGCATTATCACCAGGCCTTTCTTCTAAGGCACCTCTGGGTAAGCTCAAACCTCCAAATTTCCAGTTAGCAGCTGTATGTACCACCCAGGGACTCCATTCTGTACTGAGTCCACTAATACCAAAGTAACTCTTCTAATTATCTGTTATCACACCATGTGTCTTAAAACATTTATTGCGATCTAAATTGCCTTGCTAATTTAGGGCTCTTCCCCTTTAGAATTTAAGTTCCCTAAGAAAAAGTTAAAAGATAGGAGGTTGTGTCTTAGTCACTATTTTAAATACAGAACCAGAAAAATGCTTGGCACAGAGTGGGAACTCTGTGCTACCTCTGTGGAAATGAATACATAAGAGAACATATCTTCACCACAGGCCAAAGATTATTAAGAGCATTCAAATGGTATACCATAATTCAAAGAACACAAAGGGGCAACAGGGCATGGAAACAGTTTACCTCATCTAATTTGTATTTAGAAAGATCTTCATCCTCATCCTCATCTTCTCCCTCTGATTCTTTATCTTCAACTTCCTTTAAAATAGATGCAGGACCAACTGCCTTCCCTCTGTATTTTTTCTTTTTACGTCCAAACTAGGAAAAAAGTTTCACAGTAGTTCTATCAGCAGAAAATATTTTTGAAGAAGTATTTTTATATATTGAAGCTCATTTTTAAGAGTTGTCTTGCAAAATGGTTAACTGCTATAAAACTCAATTGTACTTAAAAAAGATACATTTAAAATTATTCTTTCCATTTGAGGTAATTTCTAACATGTATTTCCAATTTGTATTCAATCTGTACAGTAATATCCATAGCTTACCTCATCATATTCACCATCAGATTCTTCTCTTTCTATATACTCAACATTTTCTCTTTCATTAAAACCACCACCATATCCTAAAAAAGAGATTAAATTGTTATCTCATGACAATTTATTTAAATAATAAAAACATTATGTCTTAATCACTCCAGGCAAGAGAACATCTTACTGATGATAAGTTCCTTAGCCATTTAATAAAGTACCAGTATTTAAGAGTATATTTTATTTATTTAAAAAAGAAAAATCACTAGCAATAGAAAAGCTTTGTGATTCTGTAGCTCTTCTCAATTTTAAAAATATCCAATGTGATATAGGGACTTAATGAATTGTACGGATGAGAAATATCTCATCAAACTTTTGCTGTATCTACATTTTAAAAGAATTTTCCTCTATTGTTTATCATAATTCTTATTGGAAGAGTAGACTCAAGAATCAAATTTCTGTGTTTATCAGTTATAGATGGTTGTCTGAAAAATTTTGGTATGAGAAAATTCCTAATTGTAAAAGCAAACGTAATGACATGAGAAAGGCATCCAAACTGGTTTTAGTGGGACTGCTATTAATATACAAATAAAAAAGGAAATAGCCAATAAATTTCCAAGTTAAAAATATTCTACTAAGACATACTCAAGATTAGCAAGCCATTATTCTTTCATGTTACAAGTAATGTCTGTAATTTGACATATGATTGTAAAAGATTAGAGTAAGAAAATCAGTTAGTTTAAGAGAAAGTAAGATAAGAGATTTTGAAAAGCATTCTACTGAAAAAATAGAGGTATGTGATTGGAGTAACAGAGTAAATGCCTCCCATATTCCAGAGCAGTACCAGCATATAAGGCAAATGATTCCTGACATACGGCCAACAAAATGTTAAATAAATAAATAAATAGATAGATAGACAGATAGATAAATAAATAAGGAAAATCTACACTTCTGCCTTTCAATTAATCACAGACATTAAAAGGAAAAAAAAAAAAAATCAAATCACTTACCCCACCCCCACCATCATTTCATAATAGGTCACACACACAAAAAATAGTACAAAGGACCTAACTGTCAAAAACAAAATGCTGTAATAAGTTTAACTTTCTGAAAAACTCACAATACAACATCCTTTTTTCCCATTATATCTTGTACCAGTGTAAACTGCAATGCATCAGTGTTTATCCTGGAATACTTTCATATAATCCCTTCTTTCCCCTTCCTACCAGTTTCAGAAACAATTTTAACAGGTGGTATAGTGCCTAAAGCATTTGACTGCTAACCAGAAACCTGGTGATTGAAACCCAATAGCCACTCCTCTGAAGGAAGATTGGGCAATCTAATTCCATAGTGATACTGCCTCGGAAACCCAAGGAGGGGTCGCTATGAGTCGGATCTGACTCAATGGCAGTGAGTTTGTTTTTTTTTGTGTATTATACACTTAAATAACAACTTATACTTAGCAAAACTCCTGGCTTTAGTTTTTCAGAAAATCAAACATGAAAACAAAGTCTGAAACAAAAAGAAATGCTATAGTCAGAATCACAAAGAGTTGCCTGTTCACCACAAGACAATAGCTCTATTCAATGTTAATCATGGGTTATAAATACTGTAAAGTAATAATGAGATATCTATAACTTCTTGTTCCTTGATATGTATAATTTTCTTTCTCAGTATATTTAATTGTATGAGTAAATCCTGAGATTAGAGTATGAATAGTTTAAAACTTAATATAAAGGAGGACTAACATTAAAGATCAACATTAAAAGTTGAAAATACTTACAAAAGTAGGTAATAAAAAATATGGAGAGCTAAAGAATAAATTATAGGAATATTTACAAAGTGAAATACAACACAAGTAGGAAATTCTACACAGGAATGTAAGTAAATCTAAAATGAGTATCATAACATATACAAATCCATTTTCGTATTTCTCATACAGACCCACAGAAAAAGAATATAAATAATCTGTTGACAGCAAAGAGAGGATTACAATGTTGTATGCCATACAAAAAAACCAACTGAGGAAACATCTCCCTATATACTTGAACAATACGACAGTTCTCTATCACGAACATAATTTGGTAATAATTGTTTCAATGAATAGAAACAAGTTAGAGGAAATCACTATCATAGTCTGTACACGTTTCCTTAATTCTTTCGGTGTAAAGCTCTTTAGTATTTTAAGAACTAGTCTTCTTGCTTCCATTTTTACACCCACCTCAATTCTTTCTCCATAAAACAGCAAGAATAGGTTTCAAAGGAAATTAGACTGCATCACTCCCTTGTTAAAAATCCTTCTGATGCTTCACCGTATATTTAGAAAAATATAAACTCCTTACCATGGTTTACAAGACCTTGTAGTTAAGGTTAAGTATCAGTTTGGCTGGGCCTCGTTTTGAGTGGCTGGGCAGCTGGTAGTTGTTATTCCCCATGATGAGACTGGCAATCAACTCCATGGTAGGATCTTCCATGAGCAGCTAATTAGCTGCTTTAGGGATGTGGTCTACTTCCCGTATGTAAGAAGCAGCTTTGGGAACAGTCTCCAGCTTTTTGGCATGCTTGGACCTGCATGTAGCCGAGTCTTCATTCAGCAGCCTGCCATGCTCTGCTGATCTTGGGACTTTTAATGGACTTGAATCAATGGCCTGCTGTGTCATTTGGTAGTATAGGACTGTGCTTTTTTGTCAACCTTGGGTTTGTCAGCTTCAGCAGGCAGCAGCTGAAGCCCAAGGTCAACGAACTTCCACCCAGCCCCTAGAGCCTGGCACTAAACTGTAAGAGAATAAACTCCTATCTGTGCTATTTCTGTTAGAGCAGCACTAGGTAACCAAAACAAGACCTCTATTTCTTAAGTGTTTGTTAGAGCTAACCAGTCTCGATACACGAGCCTTCTTTCGGTTCATTGCAAATTCTTTCAAGACTCAGGATCTTCACATAAGGCGCTTGCTCCTCCTTGCAATGCTTTTTCCTCAGCTCCTTGCTTGCATAATTCACCTTTCACTTTTTAGCTCAAGTACCACCTTCTCAAGAAGGACTTCCTTAATCTTTAACTTTTCATGCCTGTTTTGCTCACCCACATAAAAGCATCTTGCACAGCAGTCAGTAAGTATTTCTTCAAAGAATGAGTATGCACACACAATTTTGTCACCATTTAAGGAATTTTAGCTTCTTTTTAAGGCTTTAAACACCAGCATTTACAAAAAACTAAGAATTTCTGGAGGATTTTAACAAAAACATTACAAAAATAGTATTTCCAAATTTGTCCCAAAGTAAAATGTTACAAGGTGAGCAAGAGTCTAGTTAACCATCAACACAGGTTTAAAATGATGGCCTGAATGAACGCTGTGGTGATGGAAATTAAGAGAAAAAGAGATGAATGTAATATATGTTTCAAAGAACTAAGACACTAACTTGATCACGTCCTGAGAATGAGAGTCAGTGATTTGGGATTTGAAGACTGAAAAACTGCCTGGGACATTAGGCTATAATGGTTTCACATGACAATGTAAGTTTTGTTTCTTTTTAAAAAAGGCATGGGAGAACACAAATAGAATTTCCATTGCAGTCTTTGAAAGGCAAAGTCTATGGTTTTTTTAATGGACCTCTAAATCACAAGAACAACCAAACAGAGACAGTCGAGGTAGTTAACAAAAAGGAATCTAGGTTTGACAAAGATTGTATATAGGAGATAGTTTTAGATTTAGTAATGCATGAATAGTTAAGTGGTGAAATTACATGTGAAGTACACAGATATGGCTGGGCTAACTGCTAACCATGGGAAACTAAACTATATTCTATTAAGTAAATATTTTCATCTCATCACTGATAACACAAAAGCCAAAGTAAGCTATTTTTAGGCCAATGGTTTCCAAAACTGTCAGTATGAGATTAACCTACAGATTCCTGAGATGCATCTTCAAGAAGGCTTTAACAGTTCTGTACTTTGGAATCTGTATTTTTTTAAAAAAACTACTCAGGTGACTTTAATGGAAATCAAAGTTGAAAAATTATTGCCTAAGCTTTAGAAGAGTATTTTAAAATGGACTCTTTGCCTTTTCTGTTACACTAGGATATGAAATGAGTAAGGGGAAAAATGGTATTCTTACATTCCTATAACAACAGGGAGTAAGGAGAGAACAAAAGCATTTCTATAAATATCCAAAGGTTACTATTTGCTAGGATGAGGCTCCTTAACATTGTACTTTACAAACTGTGAAAATATGAAACCCAAAAAGTGAATGACTCTCCCTCCATGGCAAAAATAATTCTAGGTAAAACACATAAGGATAGGATGGATTCTTCGACTACTGTGTTTCTAAGAAAGTGATATTCCTGGAGAAGGATATCATAGTTGGTAAAGTAGAGGGGCAGCAAAAAAAAGGTGAAGACCCTCAAGGAGATAGATTGACACAGTGGTTGTAACAATGGGCTCAAGCATGGCGACGACTGTGAATATGGCACAGGACCGGGCAGTGTTTTGTTCTGTTGTACATAGAGCTGCTGTGACTCAAAACCGACTCAACAGCACCTGACAACAACAACATCATTATAACTTATTTCTTAAATATGATTGTATCTTACCTGTTCTTTCTTCTAACTTAGCATACTTTGGAGTATTGCACATGTTACACTCTGATCTTCTGGCCCAATTCACATTACTGCAACTTTAGAAGTAAAAAATAGCAAATTAGCAGACTAATAAAAAGGTAGGAAAACACTACATTCTAGAATTATTATTATTTTTTTAAATTTCCAGGATAAAATTATAAGGAACCTTTGAGGTTTAACGGTACAAGTCTGCTTAGCTGCTAACTAGTAGGATCAAACCTACCTACCAGCTCTGTGAAAGACTTGGCGATCTGCTCTATCAAGATTAGTTCACTGCTATCAAGTTAATCCTGACTCACAGCGACCCCTCCTTGGGTTTCCGAGGTGGTATCACTATGGAAGTAGATTGCCCAATCTTCCTTCCGAGGAGGGGCTGGTGTGTTTGAACCACCAGCCTTCTGGTTAGCAGTCAAATGCCTTAGGCACTATGCCACCAGAACTCGCTCTGTAAAGATTACAGCCTGGAAAACTTCATATGGCAGTTCTACTCTGTCACATGGGGTTCCTACGAGTCCAGATCAATGCAATAGCACCTTATAACAACAGTGTGAAATCACTACCATAAAGGAATGTTTCTTAAATGGCACTGCAGAAATGAAAAGGTATGACGATTTGGAGAATTCTGATTGGAACAATAGACTGAACTATTTAAGTAGAAAGTAAATCTTATGCAATATGAATCTATAAAGTATCAACAGTGCTCATTTCTTATGAAAAAAGACAGATGTAGAGATTCTGGTATTTTCCAATCAAAAACCAAACATACTGCCGTCAAATTGAATTCCAACTCATAATGACCATATGGGGACCAGGACTGAGCGAGGAAGCAGAGGCAGGGATCCAGGTAAAGCTGGGGACCTAGGCCACGGCCCTCCCAAGAGGCAAGGGAAAGCAGGGAAAAAGCTGGGAGGAAGGTGCAGAGTGAGGAAGCAGAGGCAGGGAGCCAGGTAAGGCCAGGGACCCAGGCCACAGCCCTCCCAAGGGGTGGGAAAGCCAGGGAAAGCAGAGAAACAGCTGGGGGTGGGGGGGAGGAACCGGGACAGAGCAAGGAAGCAGAGGCAGGGATCTAGACAAGGTGAGGGACCCAGGCCATGGCCTTCCCAAGTGGCAGGAAAGAGGCAGGGATCTATGTTAAGGGGAGGGTAGGGAGAGTAGAGAGGTTTTGAAGAGCTAAGGAGCTCTGGTAGCATAATGGCTAAAGCACTTGACTGCTAACCAGAAGGCTGGTGGTTCAAACCCACCAGCCACTCCTCGGAAGGAAGGTTGGGCAATCCTACTTCCGTAGTGATACTGCCTCAGAAACCCAAGGAGGGGTCGCTATGAGTCGGGGCCGACTCGACGGCACATAACAATAACAACAAAGGGAGACAAACTTGTCTGTCAGTTTGTCCTACTACAGTGGCGTGTTGCTGTCAGGCTTGAGGCTGTGCCACCAGTGTCTCAAACCCAGTAGGGTTGCACATAGTGCACAGGTTTTAACAGTTTACAGATGAGGGGGGAGGAGGAGGAGGAGGCCATCCACTTCTCAAAGAAATGGCCAGGGAAAACCTTATGAATAGCAGAGAAACACTGTTTGATATATTACTGCACAACTTTATGACTAGCCCAGAAATATTGTCCAATACAGTGCAGGAAGATAAGCCACTTAGGTCGGAAGGCTCTCAAAATAGGACCAGGAAAGAGCTGCATCATCAGAGTAGAACCAGCCTTAATGGTGGATAAGGTAAAGCTTTCGAGACCTCCATTTGCTGACGTAGCTCAACTCAAATTGAGGAGAAACTGCTGTAAACAACCATTAATAATCAGAACATGGAATGTATAAAGCATGAATCTAGGAAAGCTGCAAGCTGTCAAAAATGAAATGGAGCGCATAAAGATTGATATCCTAGGCATTAGTGAGCTGAAATGACTGGTTTTGGCCATTCTGAATCCAGACTACCACATGGTACATTATGATAGGAATGACAATTTGAAGAGGAATGGCATGGCGTTCATTATCACAAAGGATGTTTCTAGATCTGTCCTGAAGTACAATGCTGTCAATGATAGGATAATATCCATATGCCTACAAGGAAGACCAGCTAATACGACTATTATTCAAATTTATGCACCAACTACCAAAGCCAAAGATGAGGAAACTGAAGATTTTTATCAGCTTCTGCAATCTGAAATTGACCGAACATGCAATCAGGATGCATTTATCATCACTGGTGACTGGAATGCAAAAGCTGGAAACGAAAAATCACTGGTAGTTGTTTGGCCAGGAGCTGACTGTGGAACAGACCATCAACTGCTCATATGCAAGTTCAACTTTAAGTTAAAGACAGTTAAAACAAGTCCACGAGAGCCAAAATATGATCTTGAATATATCCCTCCTGAATTTAGAGACTATTGAAAAAATAAATTTGATGCACTGAACACTATGACCAAAAAGCAGAATTGTGGGATGGCATCAAGAACATCATTGATGAAGAAAAAGGTCACTAAAGACAAGAAGACGAAAATGGATGACAGAAGAGACTCTGAAATGTGCCCTTGAGCAGAGAGTAACTAAAGCAAATGGAAGAATGGACAAGTTAAAAGAGCTGAACAGAAGATTTCAAAGAGCAGCTCGACCAGACAAAGCCAATTACTGTAACGAAATGTGCAAAGACTTAGAGTTAGAAAACCAAAAGGGAAGAACATGCTTGGCATTTCTCAAGCTGAAAGAACTGAGGAAAAAATTTAAGCTTGAAGTTGCAATATTAAAATATTCCATGGGCAAAGTGCTGAATGATACAGGAAGCATCAAAAGAAGATGGAAGGAATACACAGAGTCACTGTACCAAAAAGAACTGGTCGATCTTCATCCATTTCAGGAGGTGGCATATGATCTAGAACCAATGCTACTGAAGGAGGAAGGTGAAGCTACAATGAAGGATTTGGCTCCAGGAATTGACGGAATACACATTGAGATATTTCAACAAACACTCAATGCCAATGGAAGCAGCAGTCATGACATTAAATGATATATAGCACTGGGGAAGGTGGCTGCAAGGGACCTGTTTTAAGTGCTGAGGAGCAAGGATGTCTCCTTGAGGACTAAGGTGCGCCTGACACAAGCCAAGATATTTTCAATTGCCTTGTATGCATATGATAGCTGGACAATGAATAAGGAAGACCAAAGAACTGATGCTTTTGAGTTGTGGTGCTGGCAAAGAAGGCTGAAAGTACCGTGAACTAACAGATCTGTCCTGGAGGAAGTACAGCTGGAATGCTCCTTGGAAGACAGAGAGACTTTGTCTCACTTACTTTGGTCATGTTGTCAGAAGGGACCATTCCCTGGAGAAGGATATCATACCTGGTAAGGTGGAGGGTTGACGAAAGAGGGGAAGGCCCTCAGTAAGATGGATTGACACAGTGGCTTCTACAATGAGCTCAAGTATAGCAAGGATCATGGAGTTGGTGTGGGACTGGGCAGTGTTTCGTTCTGCTGTGCACAGGGTTGCTATGAGTTGGACATGACTCGACAGCACCTAACAACAACAATAGCGACCTTACAGGATAGAGTAGTACTGCCCCATAATTGGGTTATTCCAAGCTGTAAATCTTTAAGGAAGCAGAATGCTTCATCTTTCTCCCACAGAGCAGTTGGCAGGTTTGAAGTGCTAACCTTCTGATTAGTTGCCCAATGCTCTTTAACCACAGTTCCACCAGAGCTCTTTCCTGATACATTATGGGGAAAAAAAAACATTTTAAATGAAAAGTTCTAATTTCCCAGTTTCTAAATTTACCACAAATAAAAGTAACCTTATACCCTCCAAATGATGTTACTATTGTTTTTTTTGAGTCACAGTTCAAGCACTGAATCCCACAGCATACAACATCCACAATGATTCATTAATCTGTTGCAGGAAAATCTACAGAATCAGAAATTTATGTACAACCCCCTTCTGATTCAGTTCTCTTTCATATGAAGAAGCCCTAATGGCACACTAGTTAAATGCTTGGCTGCCAAGTGAAAGGTTAGTGATTCAAACCACCAGCCACTCCATGGAAGAAAGATGTGGTGGTCTGCTTTCATAAAGATGATAGCCTTTGAAACCCTATTGGGCAGTTCTACTCTGTACAATAGGGTCACTATAAGTTAGAATCAATTCAACAGCCATGGGTCTTTCAGATATATGATTCACCTGCATAGCAGAAAAGATGGAAATTAGAAAATCAATACTGACTTTAATCCAAATTGGAAAATTAAAAATATTAAAAAACCTACTTAATTAGCAATAATGCATACCAAGCAACCTGTGATTCAAAAATTACTTTGAAGACAGGCAAAATAAATATTTTGGTTTATTTCACATTAATGACAGAGGCTAAAATTTTTTGAGAATATTACCTCACTTTAAGTATTTGATTGTTGTTGTTGTTGTTATGTGCCGTCGAGTCAAACCCGACTCATAGCGACCCCTCCTTGGGTTTCCGAGGCAGTATCACTACAGAAGTAGGACTGCCCAACCTTCCTTCCGAGGAATGGCTGGTGGTTTTGAACCGCCAGCCGTCTGGTTAGCAGGCAAGTGTCTTAGCCACTATGCTACCAGAGCTCCAATCCTAATAACAAGTAATATTACCATTTTTAAAAAAGTAAAAAACATTTTAAAGTTTCTTACACATAAATTGTCAAATATAGACTCTGTAACAATCAACAGATCTTTGATTTAAAAGGTTACCTTGGTATTAAGATTTGATGTTATTAACAAGTAGTGGTTGCATATATTATGGAAAAATAGACAATAATTTGAAACACATACGTTTTACACTGCCAATCATTAGCACTAAACAGGCCTCGGCTTTTTTCTGCAAGTGTCTTTCCTATTTCAGTTCCCCCAGCTTTCATCATCTTGGCTTCAGTTGTTTTCTCTGAAAATAGAAAACAACACAGTTTGATCCTGGAGAAATAAAGAAATCATCTGTATATATAATTGTAACTGAGTTTTCCTTACATACTTACCCCGTCCACATCGATTACAGCTGGTTCTTCTGGCAAAATTTACATTTCCGCATCTAGAGAGAAAGTAAAAAGCAGTTATAAAAACATTTTTTTAAGTCCTTAAATATTTTTTTATTCTACATACAAAGCTTTTTAATACGTTCTCACTATGTATCTCTAGGAGCTCTGGTAGTGTAGTGCCTAAGGCACTTGACTGCTAACTAGAAGGCTGGCGGTTCAAACCCACCAGCCACCCCTCGGAAGGAAGATGGGGCAATCTACTTCCGTAGTGATGCTGCCTCGGAAACCCAAGGAGGGGTTGCCATGAGTCGGTCCTACTCAACGACACATAACAACAACAATGTCCCTCTAGTACTGAACCTCTAGCTCTACCTCAATGTTAATTAAAAAATTTTGAAATTTAGTGGAAAAGTACAGGAATTTCCAGTTTAGAAAAGGAGATATATCACTTAAGTGATAAGCATTATAAATGAAAAATGGTAATGATAAACCAAAGGGGGGAAAAAAGATAAATTAGGTAAGGTTTCATGGACATTGATAAAAACATTTTCATAGGTACCAGGTTGGAAGAGAAGGAAAGGAAGAAGACACATCATCCTAAAAACAGACTTTTGGATATTTATCAAGTATCTCTGAGACCTAGGTGCTAAAAATTAGGTAACAACCAAAACCAATAACCTCCCTGAACACATGGAGTAATGCACAATATGATTTTATGTTTATATTAGGAGACTGATGACACGGATGGAGTAAACTCTCAGGACCTTCATGTGCTGATGTGGCACGACACAAAATAGGAAGAAAAAGCTGCAAAATGAATGATCGAAACATAGAATGTAAGAAGTATGAATACAGGAAAACTGAAGTCATGAAAAATGAAATCAAATGCATAAAGATCAATGATTTAGGCATTAGTGAGCTAAAATGGATGAGTACTGGCCATTCTGAATCAGACAATCATATGGTCTACTATGCCCAGAACAACAAAGTGAAGAGGGACAGCATCTTAATCACTATCAAAAAAAACATTTCAAGACCTCTCAAGGACAACCAAACACCCTGAGGGAGAAAGTCACCGGGCCTGTGGGCTCAGTCTTGAACACAGTACATAAAAATATTGTTCTAAGCTGCAACTACTGGTCTCCCCTCGTCTGGAGCAAAGAAGAGTAAAGAAAATAAAAATCATTTGGGAACAATTAGTCCAAGGATATTATGGACCACAGGGACCTCACCCTTCATGACCCTGAGACCAGAATTAGATGGTGCCCAGCTACTAATGCCAACCACTCAGAAAGGGATCAAAACTGGAGATCCTGGATAAATAGGAAGAAAAATAAGGAATAAAACTCAAAACCACAAAAATGACCAGAATTACAGCTGGACAGATACTGGTGGAACCCCCAAGACTGCGGCCCCATTGTATCCTTCGGGCCTGGAACTGGACGCACTTCTGTGGATTAGCTCTCAAACAGAAGAAAGAACTACAAGCATAACATCTACTCCAGGGAGATGTACCCCTTTGATCAATCAACCATGAGACATCAGAAGAGCAGCATTTGTATAGAGGAAAAGCTAGACAGACAGGAATGTATAGGTAAGAAGGGCACAGGGAAGGAGTAGTCACAAGGAGGAGAGCTTTTTGAGGTTGGGGATTATAATTGGGGCTGTGAAACCAAATGTGCATGAACTGTTGACAGTAAAATGAATCTGCTATGTTAATCTGTACCCAAATCACAATAAAAATTTTTTGGTTTAAAACAGAACATTTCAAGGATGGAGGAATAGGCAGACAAGCGACACAGACCCTCTTCAACAAAGAAAAGAAAAACCAATTGACAGAGATACAGAAGATAAGCCTGAAGCCCTGTGCTTTGAAAGGAACTATGCAGAAGTGGATTAGGCACCAACTAGTGGAAAAACCAGAATGTAAATACTGAGTACAGAGATGGTCGGAGCTGTGGGACTGTCAGCTACTTGGTGGCACCAACAGCCTGAATATTTCCAAGTGGTGTTGGGACCTGAGAATTGACCTAAAGATCAGCCCTGGTCACCAAGGTCTGCAGGGACGACTGTGCTGGTGGTCTATGACTAGGAAGGGAAACAGCACGGTGGGAGACAACATGAACTGTTGACTTTCTGCTGTCCAAAAGGGTCAGCCATTTTGATGGTTTACACATGGCAGCCATTTCGGATATTTAAAGTGACCGAGGGCACAGCCATTTTGATCTTTACAAGCGGTGGCCATTTTGGATATTTAAAGTGACTGAGGGTGCAGCCATTTTAATCTTTACAGGTGGCAACCATTTTGGATTTTAATGTGATAGTGCTCTCATTAGAATTCCAGGGACCTAAGAATAGGCTTACCTTGCTCCCGGAGACCCGGTCCCTCTCTGGAGGGTAACAAGGGAAAGTGTTCAGTGTTCAGCAGCAGGCCGGAAGAGCAGGAGAAAGGGGTAAAACCCAGTCACTAGTGCTCAGA